TAAAAAATGGTTGAATTTATTGTGAAAATAATAAAAGAGAGTAAATTTAATACTCTCAATTTTTCTGAAGAATAATATTAAGGAATGATTCATTTTTTAAAATGTGAAATTAGTCAAAACTAAAAATTAAAGTAAGTATTAATGTCAATTGTAAAATTATCATCCTTAGAATCAATCTAACAAGAGGCAGGAAATTCATTATTTATACTTAATTAAATTGGAGATATTTTTAATGATTTAAATTTTGAACATATTTAAATTAAAAATTCTAATCTCAATGGTGCTTCATTTTATAATACAAAATTATGTGAATCTAAAATGGATAATGTAAACATTAGTTAATGTAATTTCAACAGAGCTTAATTATAAAACTGTAAATGGATTAACATTAATTCAAATGAACTACCAACACTAAAAGGCCATACTGATTCAGTTTCTTCACTTACATTCTCTTCAGATGGATAAACATTGGCTTCAGCTAGTTCTGATTACACAATTAGAATATGGGATAGTAAATCAGGAAAAGAGATTATGAAATTATTAGGTCACACTGGATGGGTTTGGTCAATTGCCTATTCTCCAGATGGATAATTTATCATCTCTGGAAGTAGTGATAATTCAGTGAGACTATGGGATGTTAGTTTTGGATATTAAGTAATGAAATTAGAAGGACATACTGGTTAGGTATACTCTGTATAATTTTCACCTGATGGTTAAATGATTGCCTCTGGAAGTAGTGATACATCTATACGTTTATGGGATCCAAATTCAGGTCATTAAATTAAATAATTGAATGGTCATGAAGGTTGGATTAGGTCAGTCACCTTTTCATAATTAGGACATTTATTGGCATCTGGCAGTTGTGATTAAACAATAAGAATATGGGATCTAAAATAATATTCAGAAATCAGAAAATTAGAAGGACATTCAGATTCTGTTTAATCAGTTGCATTTACTCCAGATAGTCAAATATTAGCATCTGGTAGTATGGATGGATCAATAAGATTATGGGATATTAAAAATGGAATTGAATTATAAAAATTAATGGGTCATAATAATAATTGGATATGGTCTGTAACATTCTCAATTGATGGATAGATATTAGCCTCTGCTAGTAATGACACAATTATTAGAATATGGGATGTAAAATCAGGAAAGAATATTTAAAGATTGGAAGGACATACTGATTGTGTTTATTGTTTAGTTTATTCTCCGGATGGTTCAATTTTAGGATCTGCTAGTAAAGATTAAACAATAAGACTTTGGGATACAAAATCTGGAAGAGAAATGAATATGTTAGAAGGTCATGTTGGATCAATTTGTTCTGTTGCATTTTCTCCAGATGGATTAGTATTTGCTTCTGGAGGTGAAGATTACTCAATTAGAATATGGGATTCAAAATCTGGAAAAGAATTATCAAAATTAGATGGTCATTTTGGATGGGTATAATCAATTGCATTTTGTCCAAAAGGATAATTGATTGCTTCTGGTAGTAGTGATACTTCTGTTAGATTATGGGATGTAGAATCAGGAAAAGAGATATAAAAATTAGATGGACATCTTAGTTGGGTATATTCAATTGCATTTTCACTTAAAGAAGATTTATTAGCATCTGGTAGTGAAGATCAATCCATAATATTATGGCATATTAAAACAGGAAAATTAGTTACTAAATTATTAGGACATACTAATTCTGTATAATCAGTAGCCTTTTCTCGTGATGGTTTAAGATTAGCCTCTGCTAGTAGTGATAATTTAGTTAAAATATGGGATACAAAATTAGGATAAGAAATATTGGAATTAAATGAACATAATGATTCAGTGTAATGTGTAATCTATTCTCCAAATGGATAAATATTGGCATCAGCTGGAAGTGATTATATTGTATAATTATGGGATGCAATTTCAGGAAAAGATATAATTAAACTTGAAGGTCATACAGATGCAGTATAATCAATTGCTTTTTATCCAGATGGGAAAGTTCTTGCTTCTGGAAGTAGTGATCAATCAATAAGAATTTGGGATATAACAACTGGTTAAGAAATGTAAAAATTAGATGGGCATGCTGGATGTGTATATTCAATTGCTTTTTCTCCAAATGGAGAATAATTAATATCAGCCAGTGAAGACAATTCTATATTATTATGGAATACTAAATCGATTAAAGAAATGTAATAAATAAATGGTGATTCAATGTGGATATATTCAGTAGCATAATCTCCTGATTAATAATTATTAGCATTAGCATGTATAGATTTTTCAATAAGATTATGGGATTTGAAATCTGAAAAAGAAAGATAAAGATTAGTTGGGCATTCTGATTATGTAGAAGTGATAGCCTTTTCAATGAGTGGTCAAATAATGGCATCTGCAGGTAGAGACCATAAAATTAGATTGTGGAATCTAAAATAGTAAATAGATGTTTAGATATTAATTGCTCATTCTGCTACTATTTGGTCTCTTCGATTCTCTAATGATGGTTTAAGATTGGCATCTGGAAGTAGTGATAATACAATACGTATTTGGATTGTTAAGGATACAGAGTAAGAAAAAGTATTAAGAGGACATACTGAAGCAATACAATAAGTAATTTTTACTCCTGAAGGAAAATAGTTGGTGTCAATATCGAATGATAATACTATTAGAAAATGGAATTTAGATTCAGGGGAAGAAGTAGAATAATTAGAAGTTAATTTAGGAATTGTTTGGGCTGCTACTTTTTCACCTGATAATTAAGTATTGGCGATGGTTAATAAAAATAATACAATATTCCTATATTATGTAATAAAAGGATAAATAAAAATAATTGAAAATAACTTAGATTTGTTACATTCTATAACTTTTTCTTAAGATTCAGAGTTTTTAATTTCAAAAAATTCTGATTGTTCTATACACCTTTTAGAGATTTAATCAGGATTAGAAATTTAAAGTTTTCAAGAACAACCTACTCTAAAGTAATCATTTAAAAATCCATTTCTATAACAATTTAAGCAATCTAAAATTTTACTTAGTTTATAGAAGTAATTAAAAAATCGAAAATCTGTTGAATAATTTACACAATCATTTTAAGTTAATAATTTTGCTTGGTCAAATATAAGAATGAAACTTATTCCTATCACTTGTTATAAAATAATAGCTATCAGCCATTTAATATAAGCAAAATAAACTATTATATCTAATGCTATTATCTTTTCAAATTTAAGAATCGATCTAATTCCATTATTTGAATAAAAAAATGATTAGATGTTTATATGAAATTATTCATTAATCTTCTAATAATTAGTTTTTGATTTATTATTTTAGAATAGATTACTTTAGATATTATACTTCTTTAATTATTCTATGATTGTTGAAATAGTATAATTATAAATACATAGATTTTTATTATTCTTTTATTAAATAAAAATATCTATTAAATTATTTTACTAAATTCTAATCATTATATCTAAGTTGAAATTTGATTTTCCAAAATTTTTAATTTTTCTTTAATATTAAAATTTTGTAAATTATAAAAATTTATAATTTACTTAGTATTCTCTTCAATATTTTTTAGTATTATTAAATAAAAAATTTTGATTTCTTTTATTTAATTAGTATTTAAGACACAAATTAAGATCAATGAGGAAGAATCATTTATTTTCGTTAAATTTACATTAATTTGTAAGGAATTATAATTAAATAATTATTAGATATTCTAATTGTTTAGATTTTTATCTAGATTTCAAAATTCTTCAAAATATCGTTCTTCTTTTATTATTATTAATAATAATTATATTTTAGATGATTGATAATATTATTTATTTATGATAATTTATTAATTTTGGCTATTTACATTGAATGTCTATGCTAAATAAATCAATTTATCGTAATAGAGATTTCAGAATTATCATGTAGATTTTCAACTTTAGGATTTTTTAGTTGATTTTAAAATGAATTTGAAGTATAATTGTTAAAAGATGGATTTACCTCGAAAAAGTGATGACTTATAAAAGTTTTAGTTCATTATCATATTAAAATTAGAGAAAAAGTATTGGATAATAAAATATAATAAGAAAGAATAAAAATTATGATCAACACAAACTTTAGAATGTAGAGTATGAATATAAATTAATATTTAAGTAGGGAATTTAATTTTACAATTAAATATGTATGTTTAACTAAAAATTATTACCTTTTAATTTTGGATCAAGAAAATTTCTAAAAAAATAATCAATTAAAATAAATACTAAACTAGCATCATTTGAATTGTTTTCTATATCTTATCAAGACCTTAATCTAAATGAGTTAATTAATGTTAAAAAAGTGTCTCATCATCTTAAAATATAAATAATTAGGATTCAAATAAATTAAATTCAATAATAGAACATATAAAAATTTATATTCAAATTACACTTATTACAGAATATTTTGTTTAAAATATTTTTGATCTAGAATTTCTCAACTTATTATATGTTAATGGATTTGAAATTTTATATAGTTGTTTACAATCTTTCACTATAAACTTTAAAAAAATACCTTTATGAATTACAGATTCTTAATGAACCTAATTATACCCATAAATTAAAGCTTAAAATAAAAATCTCACATTTTTATGGTATATATAGAGTCATTACTATCAATTTATTATCTCACATATTTGAATTGATTTATATTTAGAAATTAATTAATCTTTATTTTATTTGGGTAGGTAACTCACAAACTTTATTTGAAAATCTTTAATTTTTCTGATAATTCAATCACAATTTCATAGATAAATAATAATTTGAAAAAATGAATTATCAAAAGAATAAAAGGCATAATTAATTTAAATCATCCACATTCTCTAAAATGTATTATTTAATCCTTATAATATATTTTGAAAACACTCCTGTTTTATATGATGAAAATAATATATTTAGAATTCTACATACATTAATTGTCCAATTGATAATTAAAGTGAGTTAAACATAAATAAATATTTATCTTAATCAATGTTTTGTTTATTGATTACCTTAATTTATATGACAAATTCTGAATGGAGACTAATTTACAGTGACTTTTATCAACAATCAATAACAACACATGAAAGCTGGAAATCATTAGAGACTTGCTTAATTAATCATTAATTATTACCATAAACTAAATAATGTCTTACAAATAACTTAGAGTTTATAAGATTAAATGAAAATAGAAAAGGAATAGAAAAAGAATTTTATTATCCTCACTATTAACTTCGAATAATCACAGATGTTATATATATTCGTTCATAATCTGGAGTCAATTCTTAATTTTAGATATAAATAAATGATTCTTCAGGACCGTATATGATTTTTTAAAGGCTTTATTAATAATCTACTTTAAAATTATATGACAAAGTGTGTGATTTTGACTGTTCACCAACTTGTAACGGTTTGGATGAGAGGAGAATTGAAATCAAGACTCATATTATTGATACAATAGGCCATTAATTTCCTATATTTACAATTTCTTATTGTTATTAACCATAAGATGATTTAATGCGTATTGGTTTAAGAAATATTTTAATTTATGCTAATTCATGCCATATATCATGTGCTTCATGTAATGGAGAGGCTTAATTTAATTGTCTGACTTGTTATCAAGGTTCACCTTCAGGTGGTGTTTGTTTATGTGATGAATCTAATAAATATACACATAGATTGACTGGTTGTATATAAGAATGTCCTAGAGATTATTATCTAACAGATAACTCTAATTATTGTTAATTTAACCCAAGTATTTTAAATATTAAAAATAGGAATTAAATCTATGTATAAATACTTTACATCATCAACAATTAGTAACGGAAATTAAATACCATATGAACCATGGGAATTTTACCCTGATCCATTTCATTTTAGCAATACTAATAATATATTTTTTTGTTCTGGATAGGATTAAGTTGGAAAATTTATGTATTCTTAATTTATGTAATTAAATTTGCCAAAAAATGAAGGTTTAGTATTTTTAAGAATCAGAGTATCCTTTCATTTTTTTGGATGGTAGCTGAATTCTGTATTAAAACTAATAGTAGATTAATATTCTCAAATGAGAATAGAGAAGACTTTGAATAATTACACAATATTCAATGGAAGATTAAATAAATTTGAAAGTTTAAGTTGTTCATCTGAAAATTATGATTATCTAAGAATTGAAGCGATTTTAAAAACTTATACAACAACTCCAATTATTTAATTTTAGGCTATTTAAAAATTAGATAGTGAATTTTGGAGTTTTAATAATGTGACAATTGATTATGGATTATGTTAAAGTAATTGTACAAAATGTGAAACTTTTTAAAAATGCTTAATTTGTGAATCAGGTTTTAAATTATATAGGGGAACATGTGTGGAATCATGCCCTTCGTATTCATAAATAAACAATTAAGATTGCATAGACTATGAAGATATTATAGATAGTATAAAATATTCTTAAAATATTAGATAGTAGATATTTAATAAAAGCATTTTATGATATGAACTCTACTTTTGAAGAAGTAACTAAAGTTGTTGATAATTTCACAGATTTAAATGACATTATTTAAACATCATTTACTCAAGCATATTATTCATTTGTTCCTGAAAAATCAGTTTTGGGGGGAGTTTTAGTATGGAGTGAGGGAAAATTTAAAAAAACATTTTAAAATTTACAACCACATTATTAATTGAGTATTAGAATGAATATTACATATGGAGATGAAAATAATGGTTGGTTTAAATATTAATTAGATTCATATCAATCTAATTAAATAAATAATCCATAAACAGGGAGTATAAATATTGTAGGAAATAATAAAAAAGAGACTACTATTTATGAAGAATATTAATACACACATAATTCAAATCAATTAAATATTGTATTATCAGCTAATACTGAAGGAATGTCATTAGAAGATGCATTTATATATGTTTCAGAATATTTTGTTATCGTTCATTATGTATTAATTATAAATATATCTAGTGTGCACCCTTTTGTTCTTCATGCACAGGTCCTAAAATAACAGATTGTGATTTTGGATAATATTCTGGATATAATTTAACACATTATTGTAGTTCAAATAAGTACCTGAAATATAATAGTGATACTTAAATTTACACATGTGAAGAATGTAATTAATTAGGATGTCTTGAATGTTAAAGTGAATTAATTTGTACAAGATGTGAATTCTCAGATAATTTATAATTTTTATTGGATTAAGGTGAATGTATCTGTTATCCTTCATAATATTTATCAAATAATTAATGTCTAAGTAATTATTTAATATCATATTTAAGAATGTAGTAAATATTGCGAAAGTTGTTTTGGATCAAATAATGATTAATGTTATACTTGCAATTCAGATTTTCATAGATCAATAAATTAATATAAATGCTAATGTTTGAATGGATTTTATGATGATGGCTATAATATACAATGTATTCCAATATGTGGAGATTAAATGATAGTAGATGGTGAAGATTGTGATGATGGTAATAATAATCCATTTGATGGATGTGATCAGTGTAAATATTAATGTTAGGATGTATGTTTGAATTGTCATAATGGTAAATGTTATTAATGTAAAGATGGATATACTTATGATTAAACTACTTATAAATGTTTAACAACATGTGGAGATTAAATAATATAAGGGGATGAATAATGTGATGATGGGAATAATGATGTTTAAGATGGATGTTATCTTTGTAAATTGTAATGTGATATTAATTGTATTAATTGTTTATATGGTAATTGTTTAAAATGTGATGAACTTAATGGATGGTATTTAAATAATTCCCATAATTGTCAATATATTTGTGGAGATGGAATTGTTTCTAAATAATATGAGTAATGCGATGATAATAATGAAAATCCATTTGATTTATGTGATAATTGTTATTTAAGATGTTCAGATCACTGTATTTCTTGTGAAAATGGTTTATGTTTAAAATGTGATGTAGGATTTAGATTTCTACCTTAAACTAAACAATGTTTACCTATTTGTGGAGATTCTATTATAGTTGGTTATGAATAATGTGAAGATGGACATACAGAAATCATTAATTCATGTAATCAATGCAAATTAAAATGCAATAGTAAATGTTTGATTTGTTAATATAATAAATGTCTCAAATGTGAATTTGGTTATTATTTAAATAACAATATGTGTGAATAATATTGTGGAGATGGTATAAGAGTAGGTGATGAAGAATGTGAAAATGTATATATTTCTTAATAAATCTCTACAGATTGTTTAAATTGTAGATAAGATTGTGGAAGTGGATGTTTAATTTGTACTAAAGGAATATGTGAACTTTGTAAATCAGGATATATAAAAGAATAATATAAATGTAAATCTATATGTGGAGATATGATTATTGTTGATCCTGAAGAATGTGAGGATGGTAATATGTAATAATATGATGGATGTCATTTTTGTTAGTATTCTTGTGTTCCTTAATGTTTAACATGTTAATTAGGAGTATGTACTGAAATGGAATAACCAAATAATAGTGATAATAATCCAATTTAGAATTCATTTACTTGTTCTTAATATTGTAGTTAATGTTAAAATGAAGATATTTGTCTATTATGTGAATAATATTTTTAATTAAGTAATACTAATTGTATACCTATTTGTGGAGACAATGTTATTATTCCTGGTCTTGAATAATGTGAAGATGGTAATGATATACCATTTGATGGTTGTTATTAATGTTAATATTAATGTTCATACGGATGTATTGAATGTGAATAATTAAATAAATGTAAAAAATGTGAAGATAATTTATACAAATTGGATATTCAAACTAATAAATGTATTACTAATAACATAATAAATAATATTGATGAATTTTAAATTACAAATACATCACTTTATTAATTTAATTAAAATAAATGTGATGTAAATTAAATCCTCATTAATAATATTTGTATTAATTTATGTGGAAATGGAGAATTAAATACTGAATTTGAAGCATGTGATGATAATAATAATATAGGAGGTGATGGATGCTCATAAAATTGTACTATTGAACAATAATATTAATGTTTAAATATAGAAGGTTAATTGAGTTAATGTACATTTATAAATTCTCCTGAATTTATTTTAAATCTACTCTCAGATAAAATGAATTCAACATAAATAGTTGAACTCACTTTCTCTTAATAAGTTAAATTAAAAAAGGATTTAGTATTTGAAGACCTTGCTACATTAATTATTACTCCTCATATTAATTATACATTAATTATTAATCCTATCAAAAATCTATCCATTACATCTAATAATCCTATCTACCATATTTAGATTATCTTCATGGAACCTGTATCAGATCCTGTATTAGAAATTACAATAATTCAATCTATTATTTAAAATGAGTTTGATGTAAATTTATCAAAATACTAGATGAAAATTAACTTAGGAAATCCTTTTGTATTATCAGAAGATACTTAAAATAAATTATAATCTGTTATTAAAATGAATGAAGCTACTATGTATTCGATGGCAGGTATTTCAGGTTTAGCTATTGCTACAGGAAATACTATAATGTTTGTTAATTTATTAGATGTCTTATAATCATTGTCTTATTTAAGATTTATGTAATATTAATTTCCACCTCATTTAATTGAATTCTTGAATACTTACACCAAGGTTTCATTGTAACCCATCTTAGATTAATTAAAAATAAATGAATTATTAATTAAATTGAATGGTGGAACTTTACCATATTAAAAGAAAACTAATAATAAAAAAGGACAATCAAATACTTTAAATTAATTCTTTTTGTTGAATGCAAAAAGTTGTTATTTTTCTATTATTACTTCTGTAATTATTTATTTTGTTTGTTGCATTGCATCCTCAAATAAATTAAATACAATACTCATTAAGTATTTCAGAAAATATAAAAAAAATGGAAAGATTCTAAAATTAATAATATTATTTCAAAAGAAAGTTCAATAATAGACATAAAAATTAAAAAATGAATATTTTTCAATAGGAATTTTTAATGTATATCAAGCAATCCTTCATCAATTTGTATTTAGCTCATTATTGTAATTTCCAGATTATAACTTTAATTCTCTATTTTAAATATTCAATAGCATTAATGCCATATGTAGTTTATTATTCATTTCAATTACAAGCTTATAATTATTGACAATTACATCCTCATTTATTAAAGATAAATAAAAATGGAAATATTTTTATAAAGATTCTAAAATGTAATTTTGGGCAGCAAATTGTAAATCATTCTAAATATATAGAATCCTTATTTATATATTTGTTATAGTCAAATTTATAGAATATCCATAAGTATAATCATTATTACTATCTATGCAATCATTCTTTTATTTTTTATACTTGATTAAATTTTAACCTTTGTAATCACCTTATGAATTGAATAAATTAAAATATAGAGAATTCATATTTATGCTCATAACGGGATCTTTCTTAATTTACAGTTTTGAATTTAGCTATGATTAATATATGTTATTTGGATGGATCCATATTGGAATGATTTCTTTAATACTAATTATTAATTTGATAATTGATCTATTAGAATCAATCAATAAAGCTAAAGAAAATTATTAAAAAGAATAAAATAAAAAGTAATTGCTAGAATTATAATCATATTATAATAATCCACTCCAAAGACTTGTATTCCATAGATGTAATACTCCAATTCTAATATAATGATTAATGTTTATTTGTATTATTAACCTATATTTTCTTAAAACTCTTTATAATATTACATATCTAGAATTACCCTTTTATGATGTTACTTTTTAAAAATATCATATTTTTTAACATTTTTATATGCCATAATTTATTTATAATCTCAATAATATGCTCAAATTGTAAATCTAAGATTAAATTACTTTATACTTTAATATAAGTAATTACAATATATCAATTTATCATTTAAATTATAATAAATATTAAAAAAAATCAATAATATATTGAAAAATATTATAATTATTCATTTATATAATACTCATATTTCATTAGACTAATTTAAATAATTTAATATCATCTTATTTTATACATATTGCAAGTTACTCATTTTACATTATTGGATCTAACTAAAATTGTTCAAATTAAACAATTTATCTCCCTGTTGAAATTTAATACATATCCACTTGATCAAATTGATATTTTAAACAAATAATTGTTTCATTTTTCAAAATATATAAATTTTACAGTGGTTATTTAAAAGATAATGGAATTTTTCTAATGATTTTATTAGTTTACAAATTTAAAAGTATTAAAAATGCTGTTCCTTCATGGGATTCTCGAATAAGTACAATAGTACTAATATTAAATATGTAGTTAAATGATTTTTGATAATAAAAGCTATTGTAATCATATCTTTCATAATTAGCAAAAATTATTCTTTTAGTAAATCTTAATGTATTTAGTTGTATAATTTAAATAATTTCATTTTAATTATGACTAGGGCAGTTATACATAAGAAATGAATTTATCCTTTTATCATAAGAAATCAAAAATTCATTATTAGACCAATTTCTTTCAAAAATACTTTTTTGTTATATAATTTCATAATCAATAGGATCAAATTTTAGTAAAGTATCTTATCCTAAAAAGATGAGATTCTCACCAATAACTTAAAAATTTACATCATTAATCTATAATGGATGTTATTTAGAATTTATATTAATTTAATAATAATCATTATCTACACAGATATAAATAATATTTCTTTATTCTAATAAATAAGATTTAATTAATTCTTCACTCAAATATTCTAGTTTTTAATTTTAAATCAACACATCCTCATATATATTATTTTTGTTATTTAAGTCATAAATTTAAATAAAAATACATGGGTTATATCCTTATTTTATTATTTTCTTCTCTAATTCTTTATTATTCAATTGAGATAGATATTCTGATTAAGTGTAATATTTTAAAATTAGGAAATAATGTGATAAAACCTTAGAATATAAAATAATATATTTGCTCTTTGGAATTTATATAGAGAAAAAGGGGATTCCTTCTAAATCATAAAAGTATTATTTAATAATGTTTTTTAAATTTTAGGAAGCATTTTCAATCTTTTTTTTAAGTACTTCATCTTCTAATAATTATTTATAAAGTATTCTCTTTTGACAATAATTTTTAAAATCTGCTTCATTTAAATTTATGGTATTTTAAAATTCTTTTGAATTTTAAAGTAACTCTTTAAGAGGATCTACAATTTCTAATGTTTTTAAAAAAATTGAATTTGATACTAATTCAACTAAATTATATTATGTAATAAATGCTTAAACTTTTCGACACTCTAACAAAATGTCATTTACCTATTCAATATCTAATTTTTGTAATTTTAACTATTTTTATAAAACTTAAACACATGCATGACAATATATATAAATTAATGTTAATGAAGTTACAACACAGCAATCAGAAATGAGATCATTTTTTCGATTACATTTATCACATCTCACATTAATAGAAGCTCTCTCAGTTATTTAGTTTTTCATAATAAATGTTTATATTTTAAATCATAATTAAAATGATTAAATATTCTCTTAGTATTTTAATAAAATTCATTATTATTTTAATAATTATATATTGTTTTTGAAAAAGTAGCAAAATAATCAAGTTTTCAGCAATGTTGATGATAATCTAACATAATTTCAAATCCATAAAGTGTTGAATTTATTATCATTAAGGCTATAATTGCAATTACATTGTTAGTAACTGATATGATATCAACAATCAACACAACATATCCAACTTTAAATTTGTTCATTAAAATATATGCAGGTTTTGTTATAACTATTAATCCAATTATCTAATAATAATATAAGAAATGTACTCCTAAACCAAAAAAGGTGAACATCTAACCAGTAGATATTGTTTTTTATAAAAACAATTAGATTAAACTATTTAACGCAATCATGAAAGTACCAAAGGCAGCAGTAGCAGCTGCTTCTCTAGCAATAATTTATTTATGAAGTAGGATAGAAACCATAATAAGTCCCCCACCCATTCCTATAAACCCTGTGCTAAATCCAGCTAAACAACCTCCTAGATAATAAAACCAAAATGTTTTTTTTGGTGTAAAGTACCTAAAATCTGGTCTATATTATACTAAGTCTTTATAAAATTCTTCATTTCTTTTATTCCAATATACTAATGTTGTATAAATAAAATTAGCACACAAAATTAATATTAAAACTAAGTTATTCTCAAGAGTGCAAGCATCTATTCCTATTATAGAATTATTAAATTTATTTGATCTCATAAGGACAATTGTTTGATTAACTATAAAAGAACCAAAAATGAAACAAAGATTTTTTATCTAGATTTTCTTATGATCATTAATATAGAATTTTTCATATTGTTTTAATTCTTTTTCATCAAGACTTGTCTCATTTGCCATATCTTCTTTAGTTTTTATTTTCTCGATAATTAACACTTTTTTATCTCTCTTATCAATTTCTAATTACTTTTAACTATGAGCTAACATATTTATTATGATTACTAAATTTCCATAAAAATGGAATTGCTCCAAGCATAAAACATAATTAAAAGAGATATATAGCAAATTAGGGTATTCTTTATTACAAGAAAGCCCCAACACTCCAAGCCAAAGGAATAGTTTAATTAAAGATTATACTTATATCGAAGTTAATCAGTGGTAATTCTGGGTGATCTGGATGTCTTCATATCATAATTAAAGATACTTTTCAAAAATTAATAACAAAGAATTCAATGTTGTTGTTACAAATAAAAAACAGTCGCCAACCTAAGTAGCAATACTAGCTGGATAATTTAACATAAGATTTAAAATAGGCCTTTTAATCATACCTGTTCCTAAGCCACCTAAAATACCAATCCCCAAAAATATTGGTATTAATGAATAAACAAAACCTGTATAGAGTGTCAATTCTAATATTGGATCATGTACACAAGTATAATTGATATCATTCTATTCACAATTACTAAGAAGCCAACATCCCTTATCAGGATCACATGCTTAACCACTCATTTTGTTATTTTATATACTAATATAAGCTTTTTTAAATGATCAAATATTATATAAATATTTCATGTGATAAGCAAATTCACTTTGTTGTAGTTTTAACCTCTATCCATTTTAACATTTTAGGCTTTTCTACTACTTTATAATTTTAAGCTAATTCTTGATTTTATACACTTTTAGATATATGGAATAAATATTATATAATTTTCATGACAATTTATCTTTACATTTATTCATTCTAAAAAAACTAAAATAAGAGAAATTTATCATTTACATAGTTAAATCGATGCTAAAATTCGAAATTATAAATATTCTGAAAGTAATTATATCCAAATAATTTTTATATTACTATTTTTTATGTTAGACTAAATCCATATAATTTCATTTTCATTAAAAAAAGTGTTTATGTTTATCAATTTCTAACTGCTTAGCACATTTTAATTAGAATTTTTTCATTATATTATACCTTATTAATCTCAAAGATTTATTATACTTATCCTTTCTAGAATGAAACTCAAAATGAGAATTTTTATTATTTTTCAAAATTGTAAACAATTCAGGATTTGAGTTAATTCTCAAAATTAATAAGAATTAGAAATTAAACTTAATATTATGAATTCTTAATCTTAGAATATAAAATAATAAAAATGGGCTTTAAATAAATTCTTTTTATTTAATTACTTTATTAAAAAAAAATATCATTTTAGATGATATTATTATAAAAATGATAAATTTAGAATAAACAAACTTATTTATGCATACTATTGGATAGATATTAGTAATAAATTATAATTACTGTTACCAGTAGTCTTCAATGATTTAAAGAATAAATAATTAAATAATGAAGTATTTTTATTTGCAATTCCCAAAATTACTTATTTGAATATCTTAATGTTTATGTTTAATCATTTACATAACAATATGAAATTATAATAGGGTTTAATTAAGTTTGTAATTTATCAATATTCATGATTGATTAAGGAAAAAATTATACTTATTATTAATGAACTCATTCAATTAAAATAATTTATAATTCAATTTATTTTCGTTTTTGTGAATTTCATCAAAGTTCAAAGACTTGCTAATAATTCTATTCATCGAAAATATTTTATATAAATATTGATATAATTGGCAATCTAAAAATTTAAGCAAGACTTATTTTATTATTTTTATTCTAAATAGACCTTTTTTCTTGAAAAATATGATCATCTATATATATTTATTTCTTTCTGTTTCTAATTCTAGAAATAAAATATAAAATGTTTATTAAATAATATTTGTATATTTAATTGATTTGAAAGTTAAAGAAATCTAAATTCAAGGCAAACTTTATACATGATATATGTATGAAAAGCAAGAGAATAAGACTAGGGGATTTTAGCCAATTTTAAACACATAATATCATATAATTCATACAAAAATTTATTAAAATTATATCTAATTACAATAAGCATTTTTCAACTCTAAAATAATCATTAAGTCGAAGCCTTAATCAATAATAATAATAATTAAATATTTTAAGAATCAAAATGAATAACAATAAAACTTTCCCAAATATTAATAATATCAAAATTGTAAAAGAATGACTTTATTCAAAATGAATTTTTAAAATGAAAAAAAAAAACATTAAAGAAGGCATCTGTTTTGTATAAATTAATTTTCAAATTTGCTCTATTAGTTCAATGAATATTAAGATTTATTGATCTACGCTCTATTATAAAATAAAATATTTAGCTTTATTTTATTATTAATATTAGATACTAAAATAATTCAAAAAATATATTTAAATAAAAAGAAAATATATATAAAAAATTCTTATCTTTATCAAGCAAGGGTATGAAAATTAGAATATTCATCTTCGTATTCAACTTAGAATGATTAGCTTTCAGAAGCAAACTAATTTAATTGACTTTATTCGAAGTCTTTACAATGTAAATTATCATTTTCTAATAACAATTTTTCTTTATGCTCCTACCTGACTTTTTAAAGGGTTTCTTTCACTTGTTATGGTGTTAGTTTTGTATAATATGGATTTTATAAATATAAATGAGAAGAGAGAATGCAAGAATAGAATCGATTTTTGACCTAGTTTTGCTGAACTAATATAATAAACAGTTTACCGTTCTTCCATTTAGTTTCATAGCTATCTTAGACCATTTTGAACCTAAAGATATGTAATTTTAATATATAATTTCATCTTCCTCTGATGTAAAAGGTTTCTTATTAACCAATGGGTTCAGGCAATTGTTGTATCTCTCCATACATTATTTATTAGTTTTTCCTTTAAAATTTTTGGAAATCTAATTCCATTAATTACCATAAACTGCGACTAATGATTTAAGTAAATTATCTTCTTGTTAACTCCATTTTTATTTGTTTTTTTTCTAATAATTTAGAAGGAATATATTACGTTTCTTCCTTTCAATCTTTTCCATCTTTAAATGCAAGAATTTGGATTTCTATTTTGAAAACATTATGCAACTTAAAACCAGCTTGTTCCATATTTCTTAACTGTTTGAAAAAGTAATTTGTCTTCCTCATGAGTCCATCTATCCCTCTATTAATTCTTTTCTTCAGATTTTATACTTCTAGATTCTATAAAGTCCTTCATTATTGTTTTGTTTTAATATAAAATGAATTTGATATCAAAATACTAATTATATAGGCCTAAAAGTTCGTTTTTAAGATAATTATTTTTTTATATCTTATAAATATATGGAAAACTCACAATTTTATGTTCGCTATGAATATTGGATGCTTGTGAAGAGTTTTTTGTATTTTCTTTCATACTTTTAGTAGAACTATCTAAGAATATTCTCATTCCAAAATGTAAAAATTCTAAATAGGGGATGTTAATATTCTCTAATTATTACAAAGAATAGATGATTATTTTTGGATTACTAAATTTGATAACACTAATTTCATGAATAGATTTAATTTGAAAAATTTTAGCAAGATAATTGTTCATGAATATTTTCATCTGATATTCTAATTTGTTTTTTTATAAATGTTACTAGTAATTGTAAACATGTTATGTATAAGTTATATTTTATTATTTTCATTCTTTTATAGCTTTTTTTTTCAATTATTTTTTAGTTGAAGTCCCTTTTTTAATCCTAAATAATTTTAGTAAACAATAACTGCAGTAACAAACTGGAATTTATTCAAAAGGAGATATCGTTCTAGAATTTTTACCCAATTATTAGAATTATTTTAATAAATAATTTAAATGCAATCTTATTCTTATTAAATTAAAAGACAACATTTAGAACAAATTTCAAAATAAAATCACTTATTTTTAAAAGTTATGAATCAATACATTGTAATTGAAATAATAAAGAAATTAAAAATTGAATAGATTTGTTAATTTTGGGTATCCTTTACTATAATTTTAATGATAGGGTTGATTTACAAAAAATGATGATGATTGGTTTACTTATTTTTTTATTATTTATAATATTATAGAAATTGATAAAATTAAATTAGATAGGCCTAATTATCTGTCATCCTATTGGCTAATATCAATTAATAATTTAAAAAAATAAAAATTTTAAAGATTATGGTTGACTCTAAATTTAAATCTTTTAGTCTCTGTTAACAATGATATTTAAAAGATTTTCAAATATTTATGCTTATAATTGCAAAGAAATTAAATAGGTTTTTATGAAGGTTAAAACTGAAGGGAATAATTATCTATGGTATAAAGGCTAACCATTGTTATTATCATTAAAAAGAAAAAGAATATATTATATTATCTGACTTGAGTATCAAAAAATTTTCTACATTTTCATTCTATTGAATAAATTGACATTGCAATATTATTAAATTTCAATATGCTCAAATATAGACTTTTAAAAAAGTTTGCATTTTCTAAAAATTTAAAGATCTCAAATAAGAAATTAAAATTTTAAATAATTGAAAAAATCGATCAAACATATTAGATATTAGTGAAAATAGAATAGAATTGAGTTCTTTCCTTTCTAAGTAGAACTCTTTTTTTTCTATTTCCCTCTAAAAAGCTTAAATTTTGTACAAGCTACAAAGCAAAGGTCTAAGAAACGCTAAATTTTCAGACTAGAAATATTTGTAGTTTTTAATTTGTTTCATAAAAAATTGAGATTACCTTAATAATTTTATTATTTAGAATGGATTTTTGGAAATTATATCTTTCGAAAATTATTCTTGAAAAACTTAGATGATTTGATAATTATTTTAAAAACAAAGATCATTATTAGACATTATATACTATATTATATTTTGATATTTTCAATAAATAACAGAAAAATAATATGTTAATCATGATGAAATTAGATTTCAAAAGGAATTATATGATTTTTAATTTCTATTATTTTTTTTTATAGTTGTCTACAAATAAATAAAAATATATTATTAATATTTTAATGAGGGCTAAATTTTACTGCCGATTGAATTAATATGTTTTAATGATTATTTTTTATCAAGTTCCATAGTACATATTTCGATGTGTGTCATTATATCCATTCAAATTATGTTTAATTGCATTATTCTATTAATAATTATCTGAAATAATTTATTATTTGTTCTATTAATTCTAATTTTTTTATTTTCTTTTTTAAAGTGATCTTAATTTATTGAAATATTTTCTAAATAATGGTTCCTAAAATATTCTACTTGAGAGTCTATACAATTCAAATTATTACTGCTTTAATCTGAATTTATCATATTCAAATTAATCATATTTATTAATGATGAATAGCTTAATTTTTAAATTCTTGATATTAATCATGGTATTTTATCTGCTTTTATATGGTCTAATTTAATTGATTTCGACTCTTTTAAAACTGTATTAGGTTAATTACATATATGAAAGTACTTTTTTAAAGAGATATCATAAAATTTTAATTTATGATCAACATCATAAAAACTTAATAAAAAATCTGGTATCTTAATTTTAGAAATTAGGAAGTATGGTATAAGAATAAGAATAACAGTATCAGGATTTTATTTACACATAATATAAATTTTGTGAAAAATTTAGAGCCTTTAACAATTTAAATGGTTATTTTGAGTTACTAAAACCAATTATTAGTATTCTCAGTAA